AGGATACAAATCAAACAAATAAATAGGCCCAGGGAATAACAAGAGGCCCATAAATGTGCCAGGCAAGGCTGGAATATGAGGTTCTCTTGAATGTGCAACTGTTGATAAATCTTCTAAGTATTCAGAAGATTCTGAGGTGAGGGGGTCCTTCAGGCAGTCTGAGAAAACAGCCTCACCAAACCGTGTGGCGTGTTTGAACAAGTGTTGAGAGAAGCAAAAGAATGTGGGTGGGTAAACAAAGGAGTGGGACTCCTCCCTATCACAGAGTCTGCCTGGAAATACCTGTGACACTATATAGACCTACCTGATGAGGTCTGGTTGGCTTATTTGCCTATCAGGGTGCTTTGATCACGCTCTGACTGCCAATGGCTCTCACATCAGTCTCTTCTATCCCAGGTTCCATATGACTAACTGGAAATATCAGGGATGGATGCTGTCATTTTTCCAAGCAAAACAAGTGTGATCCAAGCTCTGTTCTCTCCAGCAATGCCACCAGGATGGAAGTCCAAGTTTTTACAATCCATCAGAGCTTTCAATGACTTCCATCAGCAAACGTCCTCAAAGTTGGCTGCTTATCACATAATTTCTTTTTCTTTTTTTATATATATAATCAGGGTTGGCTTGTACATATTTTTGGAGACTCGTATTATTATGGCATTTTTACTGAAAATGTATATTTCTCTTTTTTATGCACCAAATGGTATCTATTTTAAAGTCATGTTGTTTTGCAAGCAGCAATCTCCAATTGATTTTAGCATCCATGATGGTGCCATGGTTTTAAAAGTCTTCATTATATATTCTTTTTCTCAGTTGATTGGAAATGGCCATTTGAAACAATAGGAAAAGATGGACCAGCATCATATTGGAGGGAGTGAGGAGGAGAACAGATAAATTACCGTAGTTATAAACTCCATGCTGAAATATTACAATTGGACCATCTAAAGCAGTGGTGGCAAACCTATGGCATGTGTGCCAGAGGTGGCACACAGAGCCCCCTCTGTGGGAACATGAGCTGTCACCCCAGCTTTGCTCTGCCATTCATGCGCGCGCGCCTCCCACCAGCCAGCTGGTCTTCGAATCTCTGCCGTGCATGTGTGGGGGCGGGGTGCATGTGTGGGGCCGCACGCTAATGTGTGCATGTGGGGCCCTCAAGCACACATGTATGAGGAGAGGAGTGCATGTGGGTGGGCAGCGGTGCATGCACGGGGGCAGGGGCACATGCGCAAGGAACAGGGCTCATGTGGGCTGTGTGCATGCATGGGGGCGTGGCACATGTGCAGGGCCCACACACACATTGCATTTTGGGGGTTTGCGTGAACGCTTTGGGCACTTGGACTGGAAAAGGTTAGCCTTTTCACTGTAAAAGGAACATTAGGAACATTTCTGTCCAGCTTGTAAATTGCTGGATTTATTCTACTATGACTCTTCCTGAGACCCCTGAGCAAGACCTGCAGGAATTATCTGCTCAAATGGAAACCGCTAGTTATTTAATCGTTCCAAATCACGATTCCGTGAAACACTTATTGGGTGCGTTAATGCATTTAATGGATATGGCTACAAACAGGTTATGGTGTCCTGTCTTTTCTTGAGTGTTTTGTTGAAGCACTTCCTTTGTAGATTTTGCCCTTGGAGACAATCCAGAGAGAAAATAAGGAGGCACTGAGAAGACTAGTGAGAGCAGTTATTTGCTACTTTGGGAAACACTGGTGAACAGGCTGAGGCACAATAAACCATAGAAACATACAGTACATAGTTATTTTAAAAAAATAATCAGAACGCCACTGCTGGCATGCAAGTAATACAGCTATTTCCACCTTTACTGCTTAATTAAAAGCATCCTTGCTTTACTTGGCAAGCTGAGCTTGGAAGCTATGTAAAAGTGCCCTCATTAATGCCACCTTGGTTAATTGTTAAAATCTGTCTGTGTCCCTTTATTGTGGTTGAGCATGAGGTGGAATAGACCTTCCTGAACGATAAAACTTTGGAAGCATTTAGCATTACTCTGACAGATACAAGAGCACTCCTTCAGTTCTCTCTTCATTCTAGAAAGCAATAGCAATAACAATAGCACTTAGGTTCATATACCACTTCATAACGCTTAATAGCACTCTTTAAAGCAGTTTACAGAGTCAGCATATTGGTCCCCAACAATCTGGGCCATTTTACCGAACTGTTTTCAGTTGGGGAAGGTCCTATCCCATCATTTAATGTAAGAAATCATGTTACAGCTGACTGAAAAAGAAACACCATGTCAAGATTGCTATAAATGGCACATGTTAAATGATGGTAACATACAAACTTTGTTTTTTGAGAGGAATGTGTTTAACAACATAAAATATTGATTAATATCCTTAAAAACTCCAGTAAATAGACTAGGCAGGACCTGCCCTAAGTGAAGCCACGTTGGACATAGTTGAACAAGGCCTATGTCTCCAGATGATTGGTAAATTTATCTTTAATGGCAGTTTCCACTATCTTCCCTAGAACAGATGCTCAGCTGACAAGCCTTTAATTTTCTAGATCTCTCCATGACTCCTCCTTAAAAATTGAAGCTACCGGTATGTTGGCCGCCTTACATTTCTCAATTACAGAGGCTGAGTGTAGAGACAGGTTAGATATTTTAGTGCAAAGGTCCACAATCTCAGATTTAAACTTCTTAATCCTTTGGTGGATGCCATCACGGCCTGATAACTGGTGATTATCAAAAGAAGAATTTTCATATGGAAGTATTCCTCCAAGTAGAGATTGTTTTGGTGTCAGAATTGGCTATTGATTTCTTCATTGTGCCTAGACTAATATTTCTGTAAAACTGCAGAGACATAATTATTAGGTTTCAAGATTGTGCCAAGCCATGGTTTATTTGATGTTATCAATAGAAAAAAGCACTAGTTTACAGCCACATATGATTTGTTGGTTTTGGCTTACCATGTTGTGTCAACCCAATCACTGTGGTCTGGAAACCATGTTGTATGGTTATATTAATCATGGCTATGTTGTGCAAACCTGATCAGTAAATTATGAGTAGATAACTAGAGACTTAATTTGATTTTCTTACTCTTCCATATCTAGTTATTCAATTATGCCTATTGATTTGGGAATAGAAAAATAAAAAATGGTTGCTTTCATACATATTTATGCATGGATCATTTAAACGCAGCCTTTCACAATCCATCTGCAGTTGAGTTCGTATGGCATACCAAACTAGTCACCCCACCTAGTTTGGGTGATCATACTACTGCTGTGTCTGAACTATAACAATCTGAATGATCATTGGACAGTAGCAAGGCATTTTAGTTTTCTGTATCTCTGGGTCACCATTTAATGGTCATCTGGATTTATGCAGGCCAGATATGATAGCCCATTCACTGAGCCACAAACTAGATTATAGCTAGCTATCTTATGAAAATGCAGCCACTGCGTCTGGATTTGGTTGTTATTTTATTCTTTGCAGAGCCAGAAATGAATAATCTGCATTTTTGATGGGGAACATTCTGGGGATTTGAAATTTTAATTCATCTCCTATCCCCAAGTGGACTTTATTCCTCTTGGGTCTCAGGGAGTTCCTTTCCCAGAAGGAAGGAGGATAACTTTTCTTTGTGGGATAAAGGTTTGAGCTTTATCCACATCAAAGGTCTTATTTAAAGGGAGAAGCAGGATGGCACTTGTTTCTAAGGCCTGTTCTCAGTCATTGCACTATAATCAACAAAGATCTTTTGGTCTGTACACAGACATGTGCTGACACATATATGTATGTGTTTGTAGCCTCCAACTCATTACCTGGTGCTGCATGCAATCCCTGGGATCAGAAGTACTGCTTGCCTACTGGAATACCTAACTGAGCTGTGTGATCTACTGCTTACAGTTTCCGCTGAAGCAGTAGCTTGCAATGCTGCATGTGGTCCTAAGCCCTTTTTGGATTGGCCCTGTACCAGGGGTGGAATTAAAAAATTTCCCCTACCGGTTCTGTGGGCGTGGCTTGTTGGGGGAGGTCATGTGACTGGGTGGGCATGGCCAACTTGACATCACTCACATCGAGGGGCTCCTCACCGGCCCCTCCCCTCCCAGCCACTCCTTGTTGCGAATGGCAGGAAAATGGGGAGGGGAATATTCCTGCCTACCATCCTTCCCTCAGTCTGTGCTGAGATTGAAAAATGGATGACAGGCAGGAAAATCCCCTGCCCCATTTTCCTGCCTTTCATAAAAATGGCTCCATTCCAGATGCTCTCCCACCCTCCTGTCCCCCTCCCTCCTGGGGACTACCTTAAAAGGGACAGGCTGCAGCAGCTCCGTTGTGAATGGAGGGAGAAAAGTTAGCATTCTCTCTGCTGCATTTAACATTGAATTCTGTGGAATATTGAAGCTGGAAGAGGTGAGCAGCGACTGGCCGGGTGTGGGTGGGACCAGGGAGGGGTAATTACTACCGGTTTGGCGAACTGATGCCCATAATTCCTAGCAGTTCACCCGAACCGGTCCGAACCGGTAGGATTTCACTCCTTCGGAAATCATACCAATAGCCATAAATTTCTAAGAAACACAGGTATGATTTCCTGCTGATTGTTTGGCAGAAAAAAAAAATAGTAATTCTTTCCTGGTGAAGGGCATTTTATTCCTCTTACTTTAATCTTCCTAACTTGTCCAGAGTAGACAAGATTGCAATCTCATTATGTCATCCTGGGTGTTGACCAGAACCCTCATCAACCCCATTATTCAGTTCATTAATAAAAACGTTTAATAATACCTGCCCTAAGATAGATACATGCAATTATTGCGGTCCCAACAATGTAGAACCATCAGGGCAAACTCTCTCAGTGCAATTGACCAGCCAGTTGTGGGCTTAACCATATTTATGTTATTATTTATTTATTTGTATCCTGCCTTTATTGTTTTTTTACAACTAATTCAAAGTGGCAAACATATCCAACACACCTTCCTCCTCCTATTTATTCACAACAACAGCTCTGTGAAGTGGATTGGGCTCAGAGAGAACGATTGGCCCAAAGTCACCCACCTGGCTTTCATGGCTAATGCAGGACTACAACTCACGGTCTCCTTCTTTCTAACCTGGTGTCTTAAAACACACTTATTTAAATGTTATCTATTTAATTTAATAATAGTTTATAGATAGTTTTATTTGTTATTTAAAACACTTTAACAGGTTGTCAATAAAAACTCATCAAAATCTTTGCTGTAATCAAGGTAGAGTACATCTGTAGCATTTCCGCTTCTCTACGAACATAATTGCTTTGTCAGAGAAGGAGATGAAACTTTTTCACATGATTTGTTTTTAACAAAGCCACATTGACTCTTAAAAATCACGGCATTGTCTTCCCCGTGGTAACTACTAGTTTGCTTCATTATTTTCTCTATTTGGATTTTCTTTTTCTTTTTTGTTTCTTGAAGAGAGGAATCACATTGGTTCTTCTTCAATTCTTTGACACAGTTTTCCTTGAAGATAACTGACAAAGGTTCTGACAATTCTTCAACAAGTCCCTTAGTGTTTAGGGCGCATTTCATCAAGGCCTGGGGATGTGAAGGCATTCAAATTACCAAGAAGTTCTTTTACCACATCCTCGTTGACCTACATCCTCCCCTGTTGTGCTCGTTCCCAGTTTATACTACTCAAATCTTCATTTTCTTGGCTGTGAAGACAAAGGAAAATAAGAGTTGAGTTTCTCTGCTTTTTCATGGTCATATCTTCTCTTGGTCATCAGAAGCCTTGATTAAGACTTCTCTATTTGGAATAAGCAATGGATACCTTGTCTAGTTTGTCTTCTTTTAGATGTTGATATTTGAATAAGGCATTCTTAACAAATTTTTCTTCTCTACTAGCCTTAGCTCATTTTCTGTCTTTACTGACCTCATTTCTGCATTTTTTGAGGTGAAGCTTTGTTGGCTTCCTTGGTAATTAACACTTTCTTCCATGTCCAACAAGCATTTTTCTTTAGTTTCATTTCCTTCACACACTGCCTATTCAACCCTCTGGTTTCTTTAGAAGTCTCTTAGTTTTCTTTTTCATTGAAATTGTCTAAGAGTGCGCTATTATATTCTCAATTTCCTTTTTTGTTTTTACAATCAACAACTCTACAATGTGTGGAGCTTTGCACCCAAAGTCCCTTCCACTTCAAATATCTTCAACTAACTCTTCCTTGTTCCTAAGGATCAAGTTGTAGGAAACAGATCCCCTAGTGACTAAATCTTTTGAAAGAGAAAATTATGCAGGATCCTATCTGAGTCAGTCACGGGGACCAGAAGTTTAGTCTTCTGAGCTTTCGGACTCGTTTTGGAGCTCATCCTCAGGGAACTTCTCTCTACCGGAATGTGTGGAGAGATGTTCCCTGATGTTGAACTCCAGCACGAGTCCAAAAACTCAGAAGGCCAAATCTCTGGTCCCAGTGACCAACCCAGATTGGATCCTGCAACATTATCCTGGGACACATATATTTGCCTTCATTTGTGTGAGAAAATGATCACCACGAATTTATCTGACATGGTGTTTAGCAGGATTTGTCTTCCACTGAATGTTTTTGTAGCTGAAATCTCCCATCACATAGGGTTTTTTTTTTCTAATGCTTCTGCCTGCTGAAAGTATCTCTCCTAGCAAAATGTCCTTCCTGTTGGCTTTCAGCACTTGTGCTACTTTCAGCCCAGTAGACCTTGGTAAGGACAGGCACCACCTCCTCTTTTGTCTTGCTGGTTCCTTTGTACTCAAAGTGTAGGCATCATACTCATGAATTCCACTGGTGGAATTCATCCTATCATGCATGTGTAATCCTTGCTATATTTTACTTTCATAATATTTCATTATGCAGCTTTGTTTTTATTTCATGGCACACTTTTGCCTTCTATTGGCTTGCTTGCTCATGCCTAGTATAACCATCTGCACCCGGCCTTCATCCATGCCCATTCCATTTTATATCCCCATTAGTTATGATTAGTTCCCTGAATTACTTTTTCATAGGCGTCAAATAGCACTTCTGCTCTTTCCCAAGGACTTTCTGACTTGTATATAAACTATCTCACATCAACTCAGATTTGCGTCGTATTGGGTCTACACTAATTTTTCATCGAACCGTTCCTTTTTGTGGTGTTGCTGCATTAAGGAAATTCAGCAGGTTGTTACTTGCCAAAACTGACTGACCAGAGAAATGGTGTTTTCTTTTTTCCATATGTTGACATTTTCTCTTGCCTGTTGTCTTCATCGGGTTCCACAGTTCCTTATCTAATTGTTTTCTGAGAAAGAAGAAGCTTGTCATACCTATTATTTTTTTAAAAAAAGAAAAAGCAATATGAGGAAGGAAGAATGAAAAAAGTTCAGAGCTGTTCCCTATGGCTTAGTTTTAAAAAATGTTTTTCTATCTGTGGCCAGTGGAAAATTAAACTAGCATAGATTTTGCTGTCTCCATTATTAAGTCAAGTCCCCTCTATTCTGGCTTATAGCTTGCGGGCAGTGTCCCGATATCTCATGCAGAGAAAGTCGTGCTTTCTCCAGCTCCTAAAAAGTCTCCAGGTGGCAGGAAAGCCACCTATCAGCCACAGCACTGCTGCCCGTCACAGACCCAGAGAACCAGCCATTCACCCCCTTTTTCAACTGCCATCTTTGCAAACCTTGAAACTAAACAAAAGAGGTAGAAAAGGCGCCTTTCATCCTTGGTCTTTTAAGCTCTCCTCATCTCAGAAATCTAGATCAGACTGAATCGCTGACAGCAGAAAACAAAGAGGGAATCAGTTCTTTCACTTGCTTCACCATATATTTCCCATCCTCGCTGCCACTGATGTTCAGCTCTATTCAGGCTGATCCAGGCTCCCAAGACAGGGATCAGCTCGGAGATCTGGTGGGTATAAGGGAGAACCCAATTTGAAAGGTTTGGAATCTCCCCTTGCTCCCAAACAGGATGGCTCTGGAGAACAGTGCACAAAGTTTGGGTGTAAGGAGATGTCCCAGATGTTAACAAACTAAGATGGCTATGAGATGCTAAACTGATCCCTCCTGTTACAGGTGACTGATTGTAGCACTGGCAGCATGCTCCACAAATTATGCCCATTGTAAACAGTGGTGGAATTCAAATTTTTTTACTCCTGGTTCTGTGGGTGTGGCTCGGTGGGCATGGGGTGGCTTGGTGGGCGTGGCTTGGTTTGCGTGGCAGAGGTAGGATACTGCAAAATCTCAATTCTCTCCCCACTCCTGGAGGAAGGATATTGCAAAATCTCCATTCCTATCCCACTCTGGGACCAGCCAGAGGTGGTATTTGCCGGTTCTAACAGGTTCTGGAGAACTGGTAGCGGAAATTTTGAGCAATTCAGAGAACCGGCAAATACCACCTCTGACTGGCCCCAGAGTGGGGTGGGAATGGAGATTTTGCAATATCCTTCCCCTGGAGTGGGGTGGGAATGGAGATTTTACAGTATCCTTCCCCTGCCACGCCCACTAAGCCACACCACGCCCACCAAGCCACGCCCACAGAACCAGTAGTAAAAAAATTTGAATTCCACCACTGAGTTTATGAAACAGCTCTAGTGGTCTTCTGGACCAGTAGTCCCCAATCTTTTTGGCTCTGTGGATTGGCGGTGGCAGAGGTGGCCGCAAAGGGGAGGGCATGGTTTCACATGCACAAATGCAGCTTCACATGTGTGCACACTTGCCCATTGCTTGTGGCAGCCCAGTTCCTAATGGGTTGTGGCCTGGCAGTAGGCTGTGGATTGGGAGGTTGGGGAGCCCCGTTCTGGACAACAGTTGTTAAAACCACATCTGAAATAGTCTGCTGAAAGGTTGGTGGAGTGTGTATGAAGGGTGAATTGGGAAAGAAACTAGATTTTGGTGATCTCCTGCTTTCTCCTGTTCTTTGTTCCACCAATCTGTCAGCTAGGTTATCTTTGGACATGGACTTACTATTATAGTCTTCTAAAAGATTGATTCTGTAGTTATATGCCCAGAAATAGCCCAAATGACAAACTATCAGCACATTGGAATGGTTGCAGGGAGCACTAAACAATTTTCCTCAGGTTTTACTCCATGTCCTTCCTTATGACCTGCCTTCCAGGCTAAAAGAACTCTTGTCAATTTCCCCCTGGCTCTCATATACATGTAATTCAAATAATATGGGCTCAAGGAAATAGCAGTGCTAATAGCAATGATTCTATGATAATAAGATAGGTACGATTGTTGAGTTTCTGGGCTGCAGCCTTGATCTTTATATCTGAGGTTGATGGACCTACAGCTTCTCTTCTGTGGAGATCTTTTCTTATAGTGGGTGGCAGTGCAGGTGACTTATTCCTGAACTATTGGGGAAAAACAGTAGGAAAAGCTCAACTTTAGTCACCTCCTGATAAGGGAGACTGTATCTGTTCTGCACATTGAACAGAATATACAGACGAACAGAGGAGTTGCTAAGTATCTGTGGTTCTCCATCTGGAGTGTCGCATTCCATCTGGAGTGCTTCTATACCCTATGATGCCAATTTCCTGATCCAGATCAAACAGCGCAATAAGCCAAATATCTTTAGAATATACATCCCTTATAATCAAATATACAGACTGATGCATTGTCTTGAATCATTGCAGCTTATTATGCTTGAACTGTGGAACAACCCTTGCTTCAGATTCTGGCTTATTTGGTAAATGTGTATATTTAAGATCAAGATTGGAAAGCTTGTACTCCACCAGTTGTTGCTGAAATCTACTCTTTCCCAGCAATTCTTGCTAGCATCTTAACACAGGATGCTACAATTTTAAATTCTCTTAACAACTGAAGGCTTATGTAATATCTTCCACCCGGATATACTTCAACGAGCAGGAGAATCCAGACAGAAGTGATCAGCCAGCTTCCATTGCTATGAATGTTTGGTTTCATTAAACTACAATTCCTCAGAATTCTGGCTAATTATTGCACAATAATACCTTCCAACCACCTGTCTCACCTGTCAAATAAGCATAAAAGAAGACTATCCCAAATATCTTGCTTTAAAAAGAGTACAACAAAGAATTAGAACTAAGAAGAAATTTCCTAACTGTGAGAGCAATCAACCAGTGGAAAAGCTTGCCTTCAGAAATTGTGGGTGCTCCATCACTGGAAGCTTTCAAAAAAGAAACTGGACAACCATTTGTCTCAAATTGTATAGGGTCTCCTGCTTGAGCAGAGGGGTTGGACTAGAAGACCTCCAAGGTCCCTTCCAACTCTATTTTTCTATGTTCTATATTCTAAATAGAGTAAAACAGCCCTACAGGCATTATGAACTTGTCTGAGATATATTATCAGGAAGTTCTTCTGACTCCTGGTTTCTTTCGCTTGCCATTAATTTGTAATGTTCTGCAAGTTTTATGATGAGGACAGCTGGAGTCCTGTAGAAATAAATAAGCAAACTGTGGAATATGCAGTGTAGGGAAGTAAAGAATGTGAGTGCCTAAGGGGGAAGAGAAGAAGCTTGGCAATATGGATGCAACAATTTCTTTCTTGCACAACAAGAAGGCAATGTCTCTTGCAGCTAATCTGCTAGCATACATGCCCAGTGTTTTGACTCTCACCCTCATGGTGGGTTGCTACCGGTTCGCACCGGATCGGGCAAAGCGGCAGCGGCGGCAGGAGGTTCCGCCCACCCACCTGGACGCTTCTGCACATGTGCAGAAGCGCCCTGTGCACATGCGAGCGCGTGCACAAGCAAACCGGTAGCGACGGAATTTGGAACCCGCCCCTGCCCTCATCATCTCCATCCCCAAGGACCACTGTTCTCATTTTTCTCCTAAGATCTGCCTGGAATATCATTATCTGGGCACAGATTTATGATAGAGATGCATGGAAACAGAGGCTGCATTTAAATCAGCAAATATGTCTGTTGACAAGACCCAAAACGCAAAGTAGTTTCTTGGAACAACAGCATTCTTATTAGTGTCATCCACGCTTGAGGATAAATACAGCTCTCCTTAGTGTCTGCTGAGAGGGAAACAAGAGACAGGTGACAAATCACGACTTTTTAAACATCTCCCCCTCCCCAATCAGCTATAAATATAATAATGAGTCATTAGTAAAATAGCAGCTTGGAGTCAGAAGAAAGACTGTTTCTGTTCAGAGATCTTGTACTGAAGTGCTTGAGATATTCAGGCAATTTTTAGCCCCAGTCCATTAGAATCACTTCCTTCTCCTGCCTTATTACTGTCGTATTTTAATTATCCCTGAACAGCTCCCCTTCATTTCCCTATGGATGTGTTAAGCTCCTGCCATATTTTGCATCCAAAAGCACTGAAATTTTGTTGTACATTTATGTACTGAGTCTTCCTGCATTTGGTAATAATTCATAGAGAGATGAGAATCTCAGGAGTTGGCCAATGGTGACCTCAGGACCAAATCTATGGCCTCAGTTGCCACCCCGCCCTCTCCCACACACATCCCAATTGATGTTAATTTTTATGTTCTAATTTTATTGCTGTTCTTCTAAACGTCTAATGACATTTTATTGGGATGAGTCAACAGTAATACAAAATGATTTTGTGCCTTTGGCCTGCATTGTCACATATAAATGCCTGACCTCATGCCCAGGCCTGGAGGCAGGGGGGCTGGCCAGGTCGACTCCCAGGGTCCACCCTAACCCATTGACCCCTCCTTACCTTAGCTCCGCCCCAGGGGTACTTAAGGTCCAACCATGCGGCCCAGAGCCAGTTCCAGAACAGCACCTGAAAAGATGAGACGTGTTATGAATAAAGATTGCTGATTAAGTGAATACCTGTGTAATGGAGTTATTGGGCTCGATCCTTGAACACCTTTAACATGCATGTATAGTCCCTTGGCTTATTTAAACCTTAACAATGGTTGCTTCTTGCCAGATTAGGTGCAAGAGGACACTTATTTATCTAATTCGTGTAAAACTGAGAATGGAAGAGGAGCAATACATACTTTTCTTATTGTGATGCCATAAAGTGAACTAAAATAAGGAGAATCAGATTACATGGAGTTGAAGAAAGATGTTTCTCTCCCTTATCTGCGGCTGCTCCATCACACTTCATTCATGAAGTGAAGTCTTCTGATCTCTAAGCCAAGTAGCAAAACACAATTATTGTAGTCCCATAATGTGCTATTCTTCAGCTAAGACATCATGTAATGGCTTATCGTGATAGCCTAATTCACACCATTTGCCAGGACAGTGGCTGGTTTCCTATTAATATGCTGAATGCCAATCTTTCAACCCCATTGTAGCTTAGACTAGGATGGGGCACAAACCCAGTTAATAGCCTTCTATCTTATATCAAGCTTGCAAGTGAACAAATTGCCAGCTAAGTAATGGCATGGGAGAAATAATTCTAATCCAGTGATGGCGAACCTTTTCGGCACCAAGTGCCAAAACTAGAACGTGTGTGCGTGCCAGAGCCCGGAAACCCGAAAACCAGCTGGCCAGTGCGCATGTGTGCACTGGCCAACTGGTCTTTGGATTTCCAGCACTCCGGCTCGTGCAAAGACCAGCTGGCTGGCACACATGTGTGCGCCGGAAACCGGAAGACCAGCTAGCAACAGCCCATATGCCCACAGAGAGGGCTCTGCGTGCCACCTCTAGCACGCGTGCCATAGGTTCACCATCACGGTTCTAATCCATAACACAGCAACCAGAGAGATGTTGTTCCTTCAGAGGAATAATCCCATTTGGCTAGAAACATGGGGGAGGTTGTGCTTCATTATTGCTCCTGTTTGGAGGGGCCTTAGAATGCAACCAATGAAATGGCAAAGGACAACATTAGTTATGGAAATAATGGATGTTCAAGATGAATGGTCTATGAAATCAAGTATGCTCTACACTTTATTGGTTAAGAGCCAGAATAGAAGAATTAAATTCTCTTGGGCAAATCTACATCTCTCAAGGCATCTCCATTAGAAAGTGTTTTTGCAGCAGTTCAGAAACACCTCCAAATCTCTGGAATTCCACCATGTTGTTTCACTTTGGATCTTGTGGGGTTTTGTTTTGTTTTGTTTTTGGCTGAAGCCAGAAGAAAAGTGATATTTTGTTCTGCAAGACCTGATCCATTTTTCATTAGAAATTCTTGCCTTATCTGCCTCCCAGCTCCTCAGGACCAGCCACTTATTAATATTTCATACTTCAGAGTGGTGGCTTGGTGGCTTTGCAGCTCTCCCTCTGATAGCAAACCCTTGGATCATTTCACATAGAGAAATGAATGTAGTGTAGTCAGCAAGAACATAAGAGTAGGGAGAGAGACCACTAGCAATTTATTTTCTTCCTCTTTTGTTTGCACAGGGGTTTTGGTCAGAACCAGCTGTAGAATAAGTAGCTGAGAGCAAATCCTGATTAATGATGTTTCCTTATTATCTCCCAACGCATTTCAGCTTCAGATAAAGAAAAGATTACCATGTTTTGCCTCTACGTATTTCTAGACAGTAGGGAATGAAAATTGTCAGTATGAAAGTGCCTTCAGCTTAACCTTTCCCATAAGCTTGCTGTGGAGATAAATTAGATAGCGGAAAACAGCCATGCACATTGTTCTGGGCAACTTCAAGGAAAAGGGATGGATACATACATAAAAATCATAGAAGGGGATGAGGCAAATTTTTTTACAGTCTTTGTGCACTAATTTCCTGGCCAAGGTGTACCCAACTGCATAGAAATAACATATTCTTCTTCAATCCATAGTGTTTTACATAATCCTGGTTTTAGGTACAATTGCTATTTCATGGATTGAAGGAATTTGAAGCAAACAAGCTAGGGCCAAAATTGTCTTGATTTTGGTTCTTCCCATCTACCCTCCTAAGTTATTGTTTTGTCCTACCATCCATAACTGCAGTAACATTAGGCTTTTTATGGGGTCTTGACTGTGAACTTCTTCAGAAGAACTGCTGTTTGCTTGCTTGCCTTTGATTGAGATTCGAAACACAGGCCAACAGGAATTTATGGACTTCTTGATGTAAGCAGCCCTTGTGTTAATCTGTAGGGAAATAAATGTCAAATGTTTGCAGATAGAAAGTTCAAGCTGACTGAAGGGGAATTTGAAGGCAAAAAAAAAAAAAAAAGAGTTGGTGGAGGAACTTCTAAGCTGCAACTTCCATTTTCTTTTGGCATCTCTTCAATGCCCAGAAAAGGCCTCATGTTTGCAAGTCTACAATGTGTGTGCGTCCGTGCTCGTGCTCGCCTGTGTTAGGGCTGGATTGCTCAAGGTGGAAAAATGAAACATTAAGTCTTGACTCCTTTTACAAAAAGAGGTGTTGTTGATGTGTATTCAGAAACCAGTAAAGCTATTCCCCCTTTTTTTTTTAATGTTCTGCCAGTGAAGAACTAGAATTAGTGGCTCTTGCTTTTAACTTTTTAAATAAAAAATAATGCATTGGAAGATCAAAATGGAAAGAATAGGAAACACAGTATAAAACCAATGAAATACAAACAAGCAGATGGCTCTTGCATTTTGCACACTTTAACATGAATTTGTTTTATAAGCTTTTAGTGTACCTTTCAAGAAAAAAAAAGGTAATTTAAGAATGACAGTAAGGAACCTGCACAATTATAATTAACATACTGAACTAAAGGAAATCTGGTGGTTTTCAAATAAGCCCTGATATAATGGATTGAGCATTTTACATTTTAATTATAAATGTCAATTATGAATTAGAGGTGTGGGTTGGTTTGGTTTTGGCTAGTTTAAAATAGTTAGACTAATCATTTTTCTCTCCATGTTTTTCTATTTGCATTAGTTTAGGAAGTTCATGTCCCATCATATCTTGCTACAAAATGTTACATCCTCCCCCCCACTGCCACCCCAATACTTGGTATTTTTCATGCTGGATGTTGTGTTGTGCTTTTTAAGGTGGCCTCTCCAATGCCAATTCAAAAACCTGGTGTGATGAACACATTAAGAGGAAAAATGACTGCAGTGTTTCGGTCTAAAGAAGCCCTATTCACATTTTGGGGTGGGAAGGGGGGGGGCAGGAAGATTCAGAAGTCTCCTCAAAGCAGCTGCCGTACATTGGCAGGCACATAAATTCTGAGACTGCTAGAAATAGGCCTGTCAGTTCTGAAATATCACTGAATTTCATTAATCTTGAATGTGCATTACCACTCTGGCTCTGATAGGGACTGGGGCTGTGTGCTCATTACTTTCTAAATACCAGAAAACATGATATGGATTCTTGAAAGGGAGACAGCAGGGAAGGGCTTAGCAAGCATGTGAACTAGTCCACTGCCATCTCGTCTGTGAATGAGGGGTCTGCCTTGTGGTATTGTGCCAGAGAAGGAGAGGATTAAGGGACGGAGGTCAGTAACGCAGTAACTAAACTGAGGTGATTTTTCAAGGGCAGGAAGAGGTCACTCAGAGCAGATGCTGGATGTGAAGACAATGGATGAAGGCCCCTGAACTCGAGGTGCTAGATGTTGAAAAGAACACGAGTCCAACGTGGGATGGGTGTGGGATCAGATTGCTGAATAGCAAATGACCGGGGGGGGGGGGGGGGGGGGGGGAAGGAGAGATGACAATGGAATAAGAGCTGGACTTGGGAAGAAACTGAGGAGAAATTGGGATAAGAAGTTTGGTTATTGATTTCTGCCTTGTTGCTGATCAGGAAAGATGCCAATTCTGGCCTCTGTTATTTATAATAAACCTGATGCTCCCTGAATTATTCAGCAGGAGCTGTGATCTCAGTTACAGAGCATGTCCCCATGGTACAAAGAGAGAGAGAGAGAGAAAGGGGGAAAATGAGATTGTGGACTGTGCAAACTCTTTAGTGCACAATTTGAAAGGGCAGTGACAGATGGGAACTTACATTGTATGTAATCAAGCCAGATCTGAATAGGGTCCTCTCTCTCTTTTTTTTTTTCTCTAGATCAACCAACTGTTGATCCATTGGTTGCAACATGTCCATCTAATTTGGACCTGGCTGGAATCACTATGTTTTTCATGGCATTTCAATATGAACAAAAGATCAGAACGAAAATAGGTGTGGGCCAGAAAGGAATGAGTGAGTTTACTTGATCTATTTTAGACAAAAAAAGGAACCTAAATAAATATTCGAGTTCCCTTCAATAGCCCATTTATTTACATTCTGTAATGTAACATCTCTGTAATGAGAGGTACCAGCATTTCAAAAAGGACATATTTTTGAGAAATGTATAAATGCATTCTGAGACTAGTGGCTCTTTTTGCTGTCCGTAGTTTGGTCTTCATTATATTTAATTTTATTCCCATTTTTCTTCACTGTGGTCTTTAATTTCTAGTATAGCACTAGCCTTCGCAGATCCTTTGCATTTTTGGCTACCAGTGCAGTGATATCAAGGCTGTGGTGAAATCCAAATTTTTTTACTATTGGTTCTGTGGGTGTGGTTTAGTGGGCGTGGTGTGGCTTGGTGGGTGTGGCAGGGGAAGGATACTGCAAAATCGAGTGGGTACAAATGGGTACAAAAGGAGAATGTACAGTCAATTTTATTGGGCCTTTTGGAGATCCAAGCATGAGTGAGAATGGTGGTTGTTTAATAAAAAACTGCTTAGGAAAAATGTGCATGTTTCAAATATGTAGTTTAAGTCCATTCATAGTATTGAAGCCAGAAGAATGATCCAATACATCAAAAGGCATGAATGAGTTGGCTGTTTTTAATCCAAGGATAAAAAGTGCAGGATAAAAAGGAGAGATTCTGAATGTGAACAGTGGATATTTTTTGTGAGACTTGGAAAAATAGAGAATGGAAGGA